ACGTATGAGGCTTCTCCCAGCCTAGGGTCTATGTTAAATAGATAATGAAAACCACGTAGTAGAAGTAATCATCAATTACTGACCAGCCCATAGTCAGGGGTGTGAACTCAGACTTGTGCAAGGTGAGGTCACGTAACAGAAGATTTCCAGAATGATCTAGAAGCAGGAGCTTGTGCTCGGCCTTAATGTGTGTCCCCTGGAATACTGATATCAGGTGTTTCTGGAGAAATTCAGCTGGCAAATTAGGAGAATGCATTTCATATGGCTGGTACATGAAATCCCATATATATACCATTTTTATTATAGTCTATGTTATAGATTCATATAAATTCAGGAATTCTTAACAAAAAAAAGATTGGTGACACATAGAGGTAATTAGGTTGAATTACATCAGTAGCCTTAAATTTACACGGTACAAGAGTTACACAGTTTTGAACTATTTCAATAAGCTGAATTACTCCAGTTTCTAATATCTTTCTATTCATTTGGAAATGGACTTCCATTTTCTACCTGTAAGACTACACTCTTACATATGGTCTTTCACAGGAAAACAGTCTGTTCATCAACCTCACGGAAGATTTGCAGAGTTGAGAAGAGACAGTACAATCACATTTGAAAAGAAAATTCTAAGAGTGCTTTGGTGAGCCATTTCACCTCTCTTTAGTCTAAAATTGAAAGAATTACAGAAGAAAAAAATCCTCATTATTTTTAATGAAGAACACTGTCACTTCCTGTTTTGTGCCATTCTGACTGACCCACCCGATTGGGGATTCCATACATCCATTAACTCTGCTTTGGTTCTACCAAACCTACTATCAATCTGATCCAACTGGTTTTCAGTTCATGAAATTTATGAATACTCTTAAAAGTAGACAAATTATACCTCCTGCATGTGCATCAGCAAATAATTCTAAATCTTTCCTCTGTGCTGCTGCTGATTTCCCAAATAATAAATATTCCAAAATGGCTTTGGGCTAAACTGTAGCTTCTGAGGTGTTGTGCTCCATGCTGAGCACTGGTGATTTCCCCAGCGGGGTACAGAAGCTGAGCGTTCTTATTCTAAGTGAGTTATTTGACTGGGGGCTTGAGAATTGCTGGTTGGAGCCTCTCATTTAGCCTGGGGCTGTGGGCACTGCACTTCCATTAATGTGCATCTGCTTAAAAAGATTGCCCTTAAAGGTTGCTGCAGGAAGACCACGGATCCTTTAACAGTTTCATTCTCTTGGTTCCTATTATTTTACACCCCTTGCCCCTCTGCTTGGTTAATCCAGCAGAATGCCACGGTTACAAACTTAGAAATAAGGAGGTTTCATTTCCATTCATTCTTCATCTGACAGAATATTTGAAATTATTAAACAAGTAAGTGGACCTTGAGGTTGTTCAGTGAGACCAGGGATGAATGCTTTTCCTTTTGTTGGTTTTAGAAATATTTGTTCCGACTCTCCTTTTGTAATAAGTACCATCCAAAGCTATTTAATTATTGATCCCAGGGCTCCAGCTGGGATGGAAGTGTGGTTTTCGAGGCAGGTTGAGCAGCTCAGTGACACAATGCTGGCGAAAGACAAATGTTAGTTTTCAGTTCTGTCTCTGCACCCGAGCTTCTGTCTGGTTTTCCAGTGCTTTGGCTCCTCTCGCTGCACAGTTCCTCAGTGGCTCTTCAGTTGTATGGCTCCTTTCTTGGAGCTAAACTAGTGATTTGTTTTGATGTAGTGCAATACTTCAAATAATCATTTCATAGGGGAAAAAAGTGTTGAGTATTGCAAAATTCAGGGTTGGTCCATTTCCTCAGTATCCAGTCCAAACAGATCCAGGAAGGGAGTTTTGGACCATCGCACCACACATGACCTCTGCCTTTCCTCCCGAGGACCCAGCCTGGAGTAGCTCTTTCCCTGTCCTGGGAACTGAACTGGCTCCAGCTCGTCCCATCCTTACTCTGTTCCCGTGGTGTGATCATCTGATACCTGCTGGAAAAGAGGAGTTTGTAAGGAATTAAATCCAGCCCTCAGCAGACACCTCGTGTTTGTGGCACATCTCCTGCTCCTGCTGTTCGTAGGGGAACCAGGGAAGACTTTTCTTCATACAGCTTTAGGGGCGTCTGCCCTATTCTCATATCCTGGAAAATATCGCTTGGATCCTGTGCAACTAAAAGCAGCAGTTTTTATATCAAGATGTAAAATGTAAGCGTCAGCTGAAAGAAGTCTTGCCTAGCCTGAAACGGCAGCTGCTGCTGGCAGCTGGAACCATAGTCTCTCATTTGCTTCACGTCTGGGGAATGTGTAACAGCAATAGTCCATTTTTATGCAATTAAAAAAAAAAAGTTATTATTCCCCTTCCTCTCCTGGGAAAGCGAGTTTTTCACTTGGTAAAAAACTTGGTTGAGACAACAATGGGAAACTCTCTGTGATCCTCCTCTTGATTCTTTTGGCAGATAATTCCCACACAACTGGACACTGGAGCCATCCTCGCTGCTGCTTGTTTTGAGCATTCATTTCTGCTACACGTGCTCCACAAACCGAGGTCAAAATGGGTTTTTGCTTCCTATCAGCTGAATTGAGGAGATTTTTATTGAAGTGAGCAGTACATCTATCTACTTTTAGCCCGTGCACAAACTGCTTCATAACCTGCTTAATTACAAGCTAAAGTTTCTGTGGCCTTTCACTGCGTGGCATATTCTTCACTTTCTTCAACTTTACTGTGGTTGCCACAGTGATGTTTCCTCAAGTACCAATACCCCATCCAGAAAGGGACATGTAGTAATAGAGGATTTCCAATAACATTTGGAAATGGCATTTGAGCAGTTGGCCTTGTGAAGGAGAGGTGAGAAAACTGTGCTTTTCTTCAATCTTCTGATCTATTTCATTGCAATAAACACCAGACTGTTGGGAATTGTGCTGCAGAAGCTGTGGATGTTTTTGGCAAAGCCATGCTAATTTTTCTGGTGTTTCTGGTTTTGTTAAACTTCTATTTCTGAGACAAACAGGGCTCCAGACTGAAGCCCTGCCTTCCACTGCCACCATTGCTCCTGGCTCCGCACGGGACAAATCATTTAAGTCCTTGGGTTTTCCTGTTTCTAAAACCTGTGTGACACTTTTATGTATGTTTTCATATCTAAATATACAAACTTATAAATGTTTCACCTCTGTGGAGGAGAAAGGGTTGATAAAAACAAGGTAACACTGTGATCTATTTAGTAGCTGGTTTCGTATCCTGTGGTTGGAGTTGTACTTTGTGTTGCTCCCTGTGACTGTAGTGCTGCTGGGCGGTGGACGTGTACAATGCAACAAAACCTTGGTGAAATGGGTTTGGGTTTGATACTGGTATCCAGAGGGGGAAACGGGGGGCCTTGCTCTGACGGGTGCTGCTGTTTAAGCTGGATCACAGTTCTTCTACCAGCTGTTGAGATCCAAGCTATTTTCTTTGAAAACCAAGCAATTTTTTAAACTCAAAACTGAATGTTGGACCTTGGCCTGTATCTTGGTGACATAATTCTTCTTAGCACACAGCTTTTAGCAATGTCACTGTCCTGTCAGATTTCCGGGGTGACAGATGGTTGTGTGGTTGGTTTAGGTGCCATACACATAAATAATGCTCTTCCAACATCTACGATAGCTTCCCTGTCATCTCCTTAAACCACCCTTTATTCCTCCCAGTTTATTCCAAGTGCATTCTATTTCTTTTATGGTTGTTGTTCATGTCTAAGTTTATCATCTTCCCTTTTCTACCTCTTCTGTTTTGCCATTTTTATATGCACTAAATGTTTCATTATGTGAGGGCTGCGTTAATGAGCAGCGGCACCCCACGAGGTTGCAGCAAAACCAACACTCACAGTTATTATTCGAAGTGCTGATAAGCCTTTCCATGGAAGAGGGTGTCTGTCCCCAGTCTTCTTGTGACATGTTCTTGCCTTTCCTTTCAGAGGCGGCTGCATTTCGGTAATGCTGCATGGATTTTTCAGGGTAGAAGTTACTATACCAACAGCGTTCTGTGACCTCAAAAATAGCTATGAGCTGGAGAGCTAAATCCAGCCCTAATGAATGAAGTCCGAAAGCTGACAGCATTCAGCAATTTCACGGGCTCAGGATATTTTCTAACAAGAAAATTCATTTTTGAGACTTGTTCACAGAAACATCAAGAATGGAGCTGCTGCCTTTGCCTCCACCCACCCCAGCAAAGAGTGGGGAGAGAAAAGCAGCTCTTTATAAATAGCTCTGTTCCTGTCGTATTTGTAAATTCAGTGCTTTTTGTGTCAATGACATCACTCTGCTCTCCATGGCAACTCCCTACGATGTCAAAACTGCAGGGCACCAGCAGAGAAACTTAAACCAGCCACTGAAACAGGTTGATTCAAGATGATTTAATTGAGAAATAGTGGGGGGGTGTGAGAGGAGGGGGTGGGAAACGTGAGCTAAGGAGCAACTGTCAGCTCCAGAGAGCATCTGGAACCATTGTCTCCCAAAACTCTGCCCCATCCTTGCTTTTTACATCCTTGTCAGGAGGAGGAGGAGGTGGGTGGAAGGCATCAGGCATCTTCTTCTCCATCTCCGGTGTGTCTGGAGAGAAGCACCACAGGTGACTAAGCAGGAGGAGCAGGACTGACTCACTCCTCAGTTATTTTCTCACTCCCCTTCTCTCCCCCTTCCCAGCTTTGTGTTTGTTTTTTAGCTTTCACCCAACAGCTTGGATTTTTCCCCAGGCCCTGATGAGAGAGAATTAGCAGCAGGCTTTGCTTGTTACCTAACGTTCACAAAAATGTGCTTGTGGTTAGCCAGGTGAGGAAATAAAAGGGCAGCTCGAAAAAGCAAGAAAAAGGAATTGTCTCTTGGATATAACACCTTTATCTTAAAAATAAAAAAAGCTTCTCCTTTCTGAATGTTGTCCAGGAAATACTAAAGTCACTGACATGCCAGGAAGCTGTAAATAACTGGCTGCTTTCTCAGACTACCTATGGAAAACACCTAATTGCCTCATTGGCAGCCCTGCTGGTTTTGACTTGATTTCTGAACCGGCTGCAGCTGGGGGGGAAGCCGTTTCCCTCCCTGCCTTGATTACAGACCTGCCTTCTGCTGGGCTCCACCGGGGACTCCAGGAGCAGGAACATTAATGGTTCCAGCTGCAGAGCTTCAGCCCGTGTAAACCCTCGCTGCTTCCATCAGCTTCATAGATCTCTCCTCATTTGCATCCCTGTGAAGTCTAAAGCCTTAGAACAGTTTACCTTCCTCCTCCTGCAGGGTGCCGGGAGAGCTGGTGCCGAAATTTACCCTGCAGAAGCGTCAACTTGAGCTTAAGAGTTTGCGTTTTGGAAATTGCCAGGAGATGGACGCGGGGCGAGTTGTGCGGGATCAGGGACACGGGAACGCTTCCCCAATTGATAAGTGAGACTTAGGAGCGATGGAATAACACGGGATTTGCCGCTCCCGGTCTCGGGCCGTACCTCCGTGGGGCACGGGAGGCTTTTCATCACGGATCCTCAAAGTGTGAGGCTTTGTTATGTCTGAGAGCTGCCTCCCCGCCCCGCCGCGGAGCTCCGCCAGCCTCTCATCATCTCACGGCTTCGTTGAGCGGGCAGTGCGTGTGTAGTGTGTAATCTCCAGACCTCAGACTCTCCGTGACTCTCCTGCTGTCGCTGTCGCGCGTGGTGTCGCTCTGTCCCAGCCCTCCCTCCCTCCTCAGCTCCCACCGCAAAAAAACCTCCCGGAGAACGGGGATTCCCGGCGTTGCGGGGCGCTGCCGGCGGCGTGAGGCTGCGGGGAGCCCCCGGAGGCTGGAACTGACCCCCCGGTCCTCCCAGCCCCCCGGCCGTGGGGCTGGCTCCCGGCGCTGGGGGTCTGAGCACCGAGTCCCCCCCCCTCCGGCTGCGGGACCCCCGGGCTGCGGGACCCCCCGGCAACGGGACCGGCACCGGCCTCCGGACCCCCCGAGACGAAATCGCCGAGAATTCCTGCCCGAAGGCAGGGATGTTTCCCGTGAGGAAGACAAGCAGCGACCTGCAGTCGGGAGGAAGCAGGGACTGAGTTCGCTCCATGAAGCGTTTCTCCGAGAGCCTTTTTTCAAGGTAAGGCTGGTGCTTGGGGGGGGGGGACGGGAGGGACGAGGGCTCCAGGGATCCAAATTGAGGTGACTTCTAAAATTTTTTTACCTTTCCAAGCCGTAGAACTGAGAGAAATCAATCCCTGGCACTCCCTTTCTAGGCTGGAAATTGAAATCAGCCTGTAAGAACTAATATTTCTGAGGTCTGAAGCCATAAAAAAGGGGTGAGGGGATGCTTTTAGTGCTGCCTTTTGCTGGCTGTGATTTAGTGGTGAATTAATGCTGACCCCCCTTCTAAATCACATACTTAAACAGTAGAATGATGGGTGTTGTAGAAACAGCGGGTGAATAAAAGTGACATTTAGTAAATACGCGTGAGCTTATGGTTTATTGTTTTTGCTTAGTGCTTTTAAACGTTGATAGAGTATTTGTTGTTCTGTAGGAGGCAAAAGGAAGATGGTTCCTGCCTTGGGAACTTGAAGGTTTTTAATAGGCTTGGTTTGAAGAAATGCTATTGAAACAAGAGCAAGGAGATAGGATTTATTTTATTTTTAAGCAGTAGATACTATTTGATGCACCTGAAAAGCCAGTTTATCATTGTTGAGAACTATTTGTGGAAAGGCCAGAAAGTAGTAGAGAGCTCTGTGTCCCGGCTGTGGGCAACCTGTTTGAAAAGCAGTATTTAAGGTAGGATAAAAATACCTTCAGTGTCCAGAGATGGCTCTAGAAAGAACTGGTGAGTAACAGCTGAAAAATCTTTTATCATCACTATTCCCTCCTCCCCAGTATAAACCAGAACCTGAAACTCCTCCTAGTTGGGAACCCTCCAGACTGAGGATTGTACGCTTAGGTTGCGGTGTATAAATTATAGCTCTTGATTAAAGAACAGCTGAGCAGGAATCTTACAAAGGTGCCGGAGCCATTAAGGAATGCACTTGCTGAGCCTGGAAGCGCAGGGGAGAGCGGAGGCGTGAGTCTATACTTTCTCTTTGCATGTTAATTGATCTCATACTCGTCTGCAGTTCCATTTTGCTCTTGGAAAAGGAATAAAATATGCTCATAAAAGCAAAAACATCTTAACGTTTAGGGAAGTAAGTGTAGTTAGTAAACTTTTGTGCCTAGAGCTGAGGAGGAAAAAGCCTTGTTGAGTCTGGGGGAAGTGAAATCAAGATGATCTCTGACTTATTGCTGCCTCTGCCCATCCCTGTGCCGGGCGAGGGATGGAGTGGTGCTGAGCAATCGGGTGAGAGCTCCTGGGGAAGGGTCCCTGTGCCCGGTGTCTGGCCCGGGGACGATGGCCAGGAGGGGGTTTGGTGCCAGCGGCCGCTGCGTAACTTTGTGCTGCCTCCGCAGCGGCTTTGCCAGGCGCTGGAGCAGTGAATGCAGTCGGGTGCTGTTGCTGCAGTTTGATTCCCCTTTGTAGAAATAGTTGAGATGAGGAATTGCTGCCAACTTCCCAGTCAGGAGTCATCAGTTCTGCCTCTGACACTTGGGGAACATGAATGAATAACTCTTAAAACATTAATTCGGGGCAGCTTCCAAGAATCCTGTGTACTGAAGTCAGGAATACGTTGTGATCTGATTCATTACCCAGGGACAGAAAGGCTTTGGAGAGGTGTTTACTCAGTGTGTGTGGACACGCTGAACTTCAGACTCCCAAAGAAAACCTGCCTTGGCAACTTTTAGTGGTGTATTTGGAGAGGAGAGATGTGACACCGGGTGACAGGGGAGCAATGGCCATGGAAGCAGGGCTGCAGAGGAGCAGGGACACCCAAGAGGAGCAGGAGCAACATGTCTTGGGCTGGTGTGTGGGACAGAGCAGCAGACAGCAGGGCTCGGGGGGGACAGAAGATGCTGCTGCTTTTGGCAGTGTCACTTGGCATCAATTGAAACTGGAATTCTGCAGAACCAGCGTTAAGCACCATATTGACTTCCACGTGATGGTTCTTCACTTCATTAAAATCCTGCATTTCTTTTTGCTGATGGGATTCGGTGGGAGAGAGGGGGGTTTTGCAGTTCCTGAGGGAGCTGTGGAGGGAGAGATGCACAGGAGGAACCAAACGATCCTGCTGGAGAACACAGAGCATAGCCAGCTAGATAAAGGTGATCCTAATTGAGGAGGAGGAGGATCGGTATTTAATTAAAACTGCTGCTAAAAACTAGGCTCTTAGTAGTAAAATAAATAATAGCAGGACATGAGTAATTCCTCTTGGGGCAATGTCAGAGACAAAATTACACTAATGCAATAATAAAAGGGGCGTGTGTGCAATCGCTCAGAGGAATAGTAACAGGATAGAATGATTTTTTTACTGCTGAGAAGTTCAAATGTGGTTCAAGTCAAAAGGGACTGAAATCTGTTAAAGCTCAGGGTCCCGGGGGCTCTGGGGCCGCGGCGGGAGCTGCCGGGGTTCCCAAACCCACCACTGATGCTGCCCTGGGCAGTCCCAGCAGAGGGGGGGGGGGGGGG